AGCTTAGCACAGTGTTTGGTGCATAGTAAGCACTTAAGAAATGCTCTTCATTCGTTTGTATTAACTTCTCAATACCTATGCAATTCTCTAAGACTATAAACTACAGGTGAAACAGAGGTGTTAATCTGCATTAGTAGAGGGAATTCCCACATCAGGGTTTATAATGATTTAGTTAGAGATCCATACCAAAACTTTTAAATGGGTTAGGTTTTCCTACAGGCAAGTTGCTACCTAGTTGCTTGAGAATATCCCTTTGCCTTGCCTTAAGTTAAAGGTAAAACAATTTTCAGTATATTATTGAAACCCAAGGAAGCCAGTGTTGATGTTGCATTTTCTGCATAGAATTAATTTGGCAACTTGTCATAGATGTTATTGCTTTTAGAACCAGAAAGGATCTCAAGAGGCCCTTTTGTCCAGGCTCCTGGCTTCTGACAGGTAACTAGATGGTAAGGAAACCAAAAGCATATATATTGGGGGCCTGTTTGATTCTAAAATTGTGAATCATGTTTTGAAGTCAGAGGCTCTCCTACAGATACCTAGAAAAATACTCTCAGATCAATCTCCTTTACAAATATTCAGCCTAGACCTTAGCTGAATTACTGTACCATCATAATCTTATGACTTTAAATCATCTGACTCCTATTCTTGGGTGAGTACCAAGTGAAGTCACAGTAAGTGGGATTATCTGGGGAAGAGAAAGAAAAGAAACAATACAATCACCTTCTCCCCACTCTACCCTCCCAGCAGGCGGGTTAGATCAGAACACACATTGAAAAAAAAATAATCAAGAAAAGTCTTCAGTAGTCCCATAAAATGCAGCTGTTCTTTTCCTTCATACATCTAAGTGTCAACAATTTTAACTTAAGGCAACAGAGTTGAGGCAGGTCTTACATTCACCAGTGATAGCAGCTACCTTCCCTTCACTTTAAATGTATTAGCTGAACACCACTTCTGTGTGCTGAAATAACTGATTACTCACAGCTCATGGGCTACAATGAGCTCCCTTAGTTTCTTAGTTAACATTTGCTGCCAAAACATTGCTTGGGAGTGGGGGCAAGATATGCTTCTCTCAACATGTTCAGCCCATACAACATCACTGAGAGTTTACTATGGGCGTCACTGAGAGTTTACACTGTGCTAACACTTGTGGGAAGTATGAAAGAAGTAATAGACATTGTTCTTGTCCTAAAGGAATTAATATTCCAATTGGGAAGGAAATATCAGTGCACAAGAATTAATTAGAAAAGAACAGAGGACAATCTATAATTAAGGGCATGCTTATATTGATATGGTATCATATAATTAGACTTAAGATTACATAGCTGCAGGTAAGTGCTGGAAGATTGAATTGAGAGAGGAGAGAGAGCTCAGTGTTGGAATAGTACTAGGGAATAGGGCTTACAGAAGGGAAGGCCTTGCAGAAACTCAGTTATTAAAGTTCTCTCAATTTCAAAGGTTCAAAGTAAATCTAAAATCTGTTATCAGGTTCAAATTGCTATCAGATGCTTTTTCTCTTGTGGAAAGGAGATTCCTAAACTGTGAGCTAAGGCCTCCTGAGGAAGCTGTAGTTATGGAAAAGGATTAATCTCATTAAGCAAGCATAGCTTGTATAGAATGAATAAATAATATGCCCTGCATATTATGATTTTTCAAATGTATGTAGCTTCTGTTGTGATGAATGAAATGCGTATTCCAGTAAAAAACTTTACAGAATTCCTACTGCCTTTTTTCATTATGCACTTTCTCCTTCAACAGATATAAGTAATATAACTTTGGTGATGTGGGGTGGGGTCCAAGAGTTTTTCTGACATTTAAAAAGAGTCCTCATACTCAAAAAGGCTGGGAGCCACAGCTATAGAACCTTTCTTTTGTGTATCACTGAGAGCTTCCTGTCCCCATATAAGAAATATGGCACTTGTGTGCTAATATATCTATTTTTCTAAAAGATTTTTTTCCCTTATAGAAGCCAAAACTTCTAGATGTTGACTCATAGAAAAATATGGCCAGATCTATCTTTTATCAGTATATCTTTATATTTTGTGTTTGAAGGTTATGATTCACCTTGAGTCATTCTAGCTTAATATACCTTCTTCCTATTGTGATAAGGTAATAGAGATAAAAGAATGTCTTGGCCCAGAATCCTGCCCATGAATTTGTAGATGCAGCTCTTGAGAAATGTTGGGTAAATGTGAAGGAAAGCGCTAGCACCATTATTTACCCAGAACTGGGTGAATAAGGAATGTTGACCTGAAAGTTTGGTTAAAGAGGCAACAAGCTAGGTGATAAAAATTCATATTGTTTATTCCCTTAAGTTAGTGACATGTACATGGAATCAGAGTTTTAATTATGACTCACTTAATTTGAAATAGACAATTTATATTCTTAGAGCAATCTTGACTCAGCATGTCTGTGTCACTCAAATATATATATATATATATATATATATATATATATATAGCTTCCATATGTTTTTAACAATATCATGAGAGAGGAAGTTTCTTAGTTGAATAGGTTGTAAATACAAGAAGACAAGAGAAGTAACAAAGTGTCAGTTGAAATTACAGTCCCAGGATATCTGTGTTTTCCCTATATAGTATATGTCCATGGGATAACAAGATAAGAAAAGTCCCACTATTCAAGACAGTGTCTGGTCCCAGGCGTTCTGTCCTTAGTAATCACAAATGGGAAGAATGCTGGTCAGCTTCATCTGGTCTTGTAGTTGCTGACACAGGAAGGGGCATTTTTAGTTCACTCAGAGAGCAGAGCATGAGAAGCATTGTTAGTAGATTAAGCCCAGAGTGGGCCAAAATGTCTCTCCCGATTGGCCAATCCAGGTTTTAGGCCTTTCTCAGGTGTTGGGATTAAAAATGGTTTGGGGAGGTATGGTGTTGTGGAGATAGCACTAAATAGGGAGGCAGGTTCTGTTACCTTCCAACCATGAGATTTTTGTGTGTGTGTGTGTGTGTGTGTGTGTGAGGCAGTTGGGGTTAAGTGACTTACCCAAGGTCACACAGCTAGTAAGTGTCAAGTGTCTGAGGCCGGATTTGAACACTGGTTCTCTCGACTGCCAGGCCAGAGCTTTAGCCACTGCATCACCTAGCTGCCCCTCTACCCATGGGATTTTGAGCAAGTCTCTTTACTTCTCTGAGTTTCAGTTTCTTCGTCCATTATACTATTTGTACTAGGTTCCTCATAAGGCTACTGTGAGGACAGTGTTTCATAAACCATAAAACACTCTTTAAATATGAGCTATTACTAATGTTGCTGGGAGGAAGGATGAAGAGAGCCAAGATGTAACTAGGATGAGGCAATGGAAATTTGTCTCAGGGTGTGAGATTTGTAGGTGCTGATAGCCTTACACTCCAGCAGAGTAGAAACAAATTTAGCACCTAATTATCAAGAATAATTGCTAAAATAGGAAGCTAATAGGTGGTTCTTCCTCCCCCCTGATCCTAGCAGTGGCCTCAGAGTATCCTGGGCTCTAAAAGTCTTCAAGAGTTGTCTAAGAAACTAACAAGTTAATACTTGGAATATGTACTAAATAGAGCTCTTGCGAAGAATTGTTTTGTTCACCTTAAGGCACCATAGAAATATGCTAATGTTGTGTTTGCTATTAATAATAACAAAATAACCATATGACATTCATATCACTTATTCTTCCTGAAACTGAATTTTCTTGTTTATCAAATGACTACAAATAATGCATTCCCTACCTACCTCACAGGGTTGGTATGAAGATCAGCTGAGGTGGTCTCTCTGCCTTAAGTCTCTCACTTTTCCTCTACATAATTGCCAAAGTGATATTCCTAAAGCACATGCCAGTCTCCTGCTCAATAAACTCCAGAGGCTTCCTGTTATCTTAGAACCAAATATAAATTGCTCTGTCATTTAAAGCCCTTCACGGCCTGGTTCCATCCTACCTTTCCAGGCTTATTATGCTCTGTAGTCTGACCAAAGTGGCTTCCTTGCAGTTTCTCCTACACAATATTCTATCTCCTATCTCCATTCCTCTGCTCAGGCTGTTGCTACATGCCTGGAATGCACTCCTCTGAACTTGACCTCTTAGAAAACCTAATCCTCTTTCAAAGAGCATCCCAAATGTCACCTCCTGCATGAGGACTTTGCTGATTTTTCCAGCTGCTAATGTCTGTCCCTCAAAACAAGTATATACTTGTTTGAGTATATGTTGTCTTTCCTGATTGTCATTGAAAGGATGTTGCGGGGAGCAGGTAGGTGGCACAGTGACTAGAGCTCTGATCTTGGAGTGAGGAGGACCTGAGTTCAAATCCAGCCTCAGACACTTAACACTTACTAGCTGTGTGACCCTGGGCAAGTCACTTAACCCCTATCACCTCACCGAAAAAAAAAAAAAAGAAAGGATGTTGCCTCAGACAAACTGAGGTCTGGGATTAGAAAGGCCAAGGTAACCCACTGCATCTTGGGTCATCATCTTGATGTTTGTCTTGCACTGGACTCTGATGACTCTGGAAAAGAGTGAGGCTGACCACTTTGCCTAGCTCTGCCTCTCTGAAATCCAAATCATGGGCAAGTCAGGGCTTCACGCTCCATCACTAGTGATGCCCTTTGTCCTCTTCAACAACCAAGGACACACAACAACAGCAAAGGGTCCCATATGAGGTGGCTACAAAGAGAAAAGTACTTTCAGAGCAGGTGTAGTGAGTTAAACCTTTGTCACACCTATTTCTCACACATGTAAGTCAGTCAATTTAGACTTACCGTCTAAATTTAAGCTTAATCCAATTATCTGTATTTAAAGAGAAATAAACCATTCCATCCAAGGAATTGAGGAGCCAGGCAAATTCCTCCCTTTGGTTTCCCTATAAAATATTGTAGAATTGAATTCCACTTAGCTGGCAAAGACAAGTCACACCCTTCATTTCCTTTCCCATGAATCAGCCAGTTTTCTGTTTCATAAGACCAGGCATTTGTTTGGCATCCCTAAATAGCCAGTACTAAGTGAGTTTGTCTTCTTCTCACAGGAAGAGCCTGCCTCTCAATCCACTACAGGTAAGGCATTTAATTTGATTAATTTTCTTAGTAGTATGATGGTTTTACATCAACCCATCTACAGCCTTTTAGAGTTCCTGCATTTAAACCAGGGAATGAATGCATTTTGGGGACAGCTGGCTGGGGTCAAAGTGAAATCTATAGCTATGAAATTATGCTGGGTTTGGAAAAAGCACATGACTTGGAGGGTTCCTGCGTTTTAATTTTCTCTCTGGCACTTATTAGTATGACCGTGAACAGGTTACTCTCTCCCTCTGGAAAAGCTCATTTAACTTATTTATTAAAAAAAAAAAACAGGAATGAAAATATTTGCTTTACATATTGTTCATGGCTACTGAGAAGAAAGAATTTTGTACATTAAAGCCCTATGCAATTGGAAAGTTATTATAGAGGGAAAATATGATATAACAGAAAGTGTATAAGACTTGAGTCAAAGGGATCTGGGTTTGATTCTGAACTAAGTGATACAGTGGATAAAACGCTGGGCCTGGAGTCAGGAAGACTCGCCTTGAAGAGTTCAAATCTGGCCTCAGACACTTACTAGCTGGGCAAGTCACGTAACTTTCTTTGTCTCAATTCTTTAATCTATAAAATGAGCTGGGGAAGGAAATGGCAAACTACTCCAGTATCTTTGCCAAGAAAATCCCAAATGGGATCATGAAAAGTTGGACAGGACTGAAAAACTCTCAACAATAAGGAAAATCTGATGATTAGCAGCAATGTCAACTAATTGACGACAAGTTACATAATCCCTGTAACTCTCACTTTCCTCATCTGCAAAATGGGCATTAAAATGGCAACATTGTACAGTAGGAAGAGACCTGGATTTGAAGTCCAAGCACTTGGGTTCTAGTTCTGGCTCTGATACTTATTCTTTGTCTTTGGGCAAGTCTCTTTCCTTCTTCAGTTCTTAGAATCCTCATGTATAAAATGAAGGGCTTAGAAAAGATGACTCCCATGATTCAGTCTTACAACTGCCTATTTCACAGAGTTGTGATGAAGAGTCTCTGCAAACTTGAGCATTCTATATAAATGTGAGTTATTACAACAAAACAAAGCTAACAATTGCCACCATGTGAGGTATCCTCTGGTATCTCTCTCCCCCCACCTTTTGTATGTTATCTTCCCTCCTTAGATTATAAACTCCTTGAGGGCAGGGATTGTCTTTCTTTTTCTTATTTGTCTGCCTAGCACTTAGCACAGTGCCTGGCACATAGTAAGTACTTAATAAATGTTTATCTTATAGTATCATAAATAATTATTCACAAATATGTAAAGGATATGAGATTTCAGCAATGGACGGAACTGCTGGTGTGGGCTGCTCCCCAGGTATGCTCAGCTCTGACTTAGTAGATAAATTCTAAGGAGTTGCCTGAAGTCCATAAAGATTAAATGACTTGCCAGGGTCACAGAGTAAATGAGTTCCTTAGGCAGGAAATGAATCTGAGTTTTCCTGAATCCAGCAACTATGGCAGGCTGCCTCTAACTAGCCATATTACAACAAACATAGGCTACCCTTTTCTTTCCCATCTGGATGACTTGCACAAGCCTAAGTAGGGCAAATATGCCAGGACCCAAAGGACCTGTGATTTCCTTAAGCAGGGAAACTCCTAGAGTTGAACCTTCTTTCACCAAAGCAGATTTCAATAGTCTATTATAGACTCCTAGATTTAGAGCTGGAAAGGACCTCAAAAGCCATCTACCCTGACCCTTTCACTTTATAGATGAGGAAATTGAGGTCGAGGTAGGGTAAGGGACTTGTCTAAGTTCACGTAGTAAATATCAGAGGCAATATTTGAACGTAGGGCTCCTTCCATTGTACCAGACTGATTCCACTTAATAGTTCTTAGGGAGTTACCTGAGGCATACAAAGATTGAATGACTTGCCCAGGATTGTGGAGGGCATTCTTGATGAAAATACAGAGAGAGAAGACTATTTTTTTTTAAATAAGTCTATCTTCATCTTAACTATGCTAACTCTACGAAGTGAATTAATTTATTATTGTTACCAAAATAATCTTAAATGCATTTTAATTTTAAAAATATCAATAAACATGTTACAGGATCATAGACTTAAAGCTAAAAGAAACTCTATAGGTTATCTAATTCTAAATTTACAGATATGGAAATTGAAGCTCACAGGGGTTAAATGACTGCCCAAAGCCACATAGGTACCAAGTGACAGAGCTAGGATTTGAACCTGTATCCATTGATTCCAAATCCAGTGCCTTTTTCTCTGTACCACACTCATGTATCACACATATAATGTTTCCAGTACCTTGGATAAGCATTGGTTGAGTTAGGTAAGAGGAGAAAGGGAGGAGGCTGGATTACATATGGGGAAATGTGCAGCATTTTTAATGACCCCAGGCTTCTCCCTGGAACCAAAAATCTCATGTTTTTAACACCGCTGTTCATCATTAGAGACACTGTTGCCTAGTGGATAGATTGTTCATCATCAGAGATAGTGTTAAATAGTGGGTAGAGTTCTGGGGAGGTCTGGGTTAATATTCACCTCTGACACTTCCTGGTTTTACAACCGTGGACCAGTCATTTTACCTTCATAAGCTACAGACAACTTTCTAGGACTTTTCTACTAAGTTCAGAGTTGGGTTGTAATTGCCTCAGTGGAGGGAGTTCCCACATGAGAAGTTCTCCAAACTGATGAAATCATCCCAGTTCCACATTTGTTTTCTTCTGGTAATACCACATGTCTGTGAATCATGAAATATCACAGTTCTATACATTCAGTCACCCAGAGGGCAATGGATAGGCATATTGTTGTAAGGATCAAATGAGATAATAATTGTAAAGCGATTAGTACAGCTCCTGGTGCATAGTAAGCATTATATAAATGTTCACTATCATCATTATCATTATTATTATTAAATTATGGGCATTAATTGGTGGTGGCATATTACAAGTGGTTTATTACACAAAGCAATGAAAAATATATCATCGGGGAATGAATGACCAGAAAAGAAGTTGGGCCAATCATGGAGTGAGAATAATATATAACTATGGATAACCGTTATGCTCCATTTATGTTCACACAATGTCAAGAGATGAAGCCTTACTATCCCTGTGACCTCCCAGACACTCCCTTCTCTGTCCATGGCTTCCCTACATGTATTGTCTCCCCATTAGAATACTAGTAATAATAATGATGATGGTGACAGCCAGTATTCATGTAGCACTTTCATGTTTGCAAAGGGTTTTACAAATATTATTTCCTTTTATCCCCACAACAACCTTGGGAGGTAGATGTTATTATTAATCTCATTTTATACATGAGGACAGTGAGGCAAACAGATGTTAAGTGACTTGCCCAATCTCACACAGCCAGTAAGTGTCTAAGACTGAATGTGAATTTGGTCTTCCTTCCAGATCCAATGCTATCCACTGAAACATCTAGCTACACTATAACTGTAACCTCCTTGAGGATGGGAAATGTCTCACCTTTCTACTTACATCGTCAGCACTGAGTATCATGCCTACCACATAGAAAGTAGTTAAATGCTTTTTATTCATTTATCAAGAAGAAGGCCCGAAGTGTGTTGAGTGGACCCTCTAAATATTAGTTATAAATGAGGGAGGGGATGGTGGGCAATGCTTAAACCTCACTATCAGCGGAATTGGTTTAAAGAGAGAATATATATATATACATACATACATACTCAGTTGGGTATAGAAATCTATCTTACTCAGTAGGGAAATAGGAGGGGAATAGGAAAAGGTATAGGAAACGGGTTGATAAAAGGGAGAGCAGATTAAAGGAAGCAGTGGTCAGAAGCAAAACAGAGTTTCAAGGAAGGACAGGAGAAAAAGAGAGAGAGAAGAATAAACAGAAGAAAATAGGATGGAGGGAAATACACAGTTAGTAATCATAACTGTGAATGTGAAAGAGATGAGTTTACCCATACACTTGCGTTTACAAGTGGATAACAGAATGGGTTAGAAACCAGAATCCAACAATATGTTGCTTCCAAGAGATGCACTTTAAACAGAAAGATACATACAAAGGATTGGAGCAGAATCTATTATGCTTCAGCTGAAGTAAAAAAACAAAAGGCAGAGGTAGCAATCATGATCTCAGACAAAGCAAAAGTAAAAATATACCTAATTAAAAGAGATAATCAGGGAAATTATACTTTGATAAAAGGTGCCATAGACAACAGAGCAATATAAAAAAAATTTTTTTACAGTAAGTTTCTCTGATAAAAGCCTTATTTCTCAAATATATAGGGAACTTAGTCAAATTCATTAAAATAAGGGCCATTCCCTAATTGATAAATGTTCAAAGGATATGAACAGGCAGTTTTCAGAAAAAGAAATCAATGCTGTCTCTGGTCATGTGAAAAAATGCTCTAAATCATTATTGGTTAGAGAAATGCAAATTAAAACAACAAATTAAAACCACCTCACACCTATTGGAAATGACAAATGCTGAAGGGGATGAGGGAAAATAGGTCCCCTAATGAACTGTTGGTCGAATTGTGAACTGGTCCAGCCATTCTGGAGAACAAATTGGAACTATGCCTGAAGGGCTATAAAACAGTGGATGGATACCCTTTGACCCAGCAATACCATTACTAGGTCTGTACCCCAAAGATATAAAAGGAAAAGGATCTATTTGTACAAAAATATTTATAGCAGCTCTTTTTCTGTGGCAAAGAACTGGAAATTGAAGGGATGCTTATCAATTGGGGAATGGCTGAACAAGTTTTGGCATATGATTGTGATGGAATACTATTGTCCCATAAGAAATTACAAGGGAGATGGTTTCAGAAAAAAAATATGGCAAGACCTATATGAATTAATGCAAAGTGAAATGAGAAGAACCAGGAGATCATTGTGTATAGCAATGTTATAATGATGACCAACTATGAAATTCTTGGCTATTCTGATCGATACAATGATCCAAGGCAGTTCCAAAGGATGCCTGATTAAAAAAAAATTCTATCCATCTCCAGAGATAGAACTGATGAACTCTGTATGCAAACTGAAGTATACTTTTCTCACTTCATTTCTTTTTTTCTTTTTTTGCGATATGGCTAATATGAAAATATATTTTTCATAATTTCGCATGTATAGTTACCTTCTTGCCTTCTCTGTGGGTGAGGAAGGATGGGAGGGAGAGAATTTGGAACTCAAAATTTAAAAAGAAAATAATTTTTTTGCTTTTTTTTAAATTTTGCTTTTTGTTGAGGCAATCAGGGTTAAGTGAGTTGCTCAGGGTCACATAGCTAGTAAGTGTGAAGTATCTGAGTCTGTATTTGAACTCAGGTCCTCCTGACTCCAAGGCTGGAGCTCTATCTACTGCACCACCTCGCTGCCCCAAAAGAAAAGAATATTAAAAATAAATGAAAATAAATTAATTATTGGAAAGAAAGGAAGAAAGAAACAAAGAAAGAAGGAAGGGAAGGAAGAAAGAAAGAGAGAGAGAGAAAAGAAAGAAGGAAGGTAGGAAGGAAGGAAGGAAGGAAGAAAGAAACCACAGGGCGGGGTATCTAAAGATCTGAGTCCCAGCTAAGCCACTGAGTTGCATAACTTTGGGCAGGTCACAAAATTACCTCTAAGGTCAACTCCAGCTGTGATAGCCTATTAGTACAAATAGCACTTTATTTTTTTTTTCAAATAGCACTTTAAAGGTTAAAAAAGTACTTTTCTCGTAGCAACCTCTGGACATTGGCATGACAGTCATTATACCTCTCATTTCCAAGATGAAGAATCAGAGATTTGGAGAAGTTAAATAACTTGTCTAGGGTCACACAGTAATAAGTGTTGAAGCTAGGTCATGAACCAGTTTATAACTCTAGATCCAAGGCTCTGTCCATGATCCCATGCTACCCTGAGTACATATTGTGTTCAAGTCACTGAATACATTCTGGATACAATCTGGATACAATTCCAATATCTAACTAAAATAAACTAGGATTTTTTTGCTCCTCAGGAATCCAGAGATAGTGGTATTATTGAATTCAGAACTGAAAGAGTGCTTAGAGTTCATCTAGCCTATTCAGGGCTGGGCTTAACTCAGTCTGGTCTGCTAATTCAAGATCATGATTGGAATGAAATGATGTATTTCTAGACCATATAATGGTTAACAAAAAGAAGTTAATAATAACATGGAAAGGATATTCAACAAAGATGTGATAGTGATAAGGTCTTAATAAGGAGTCTCTCTCTCTCTTTCTCCCTCTCTCTGTCTCTGTCTCTCTCTCATCTCATACAGATCCCCTCATCCTGACATTGGTCATGATGGTATGCTTGGTCACAAGGGTGTGTTGACTCACGTAGTGGCAGAGAATTTGTCAAGTCCAAATAGCTTAAATTCTTTGTGGGCTTTTTATGCCTTAGGTGATTGGGAAGCTACATCAGTGGTTAGAGCCTTAGTCCCCTGGACCAATTAAGCCATAAGGCCAGTTTCTAGGCTTTTCTAGCGTAGGCTATGTGAAAGTGATGTTACTCATATCACATAGTCCCTCGCACTTGGCTTATAGAGGAGGATAACCTGTATAAGGTACATAGAATTTAAGTGATTTAGCCAGGGTCACACATCTAGTAGGTAAAATTTGAGAATCAAAATAGATCTTTTGACTCCAGAGTCACTGTGTTTTTCATTGCAAAAGTGAGGAAGAAATATTTTTTCTTTAAAAAAAAATGTCTAATTCTGCTAAATTTCCCCTTAGTTCCATTTCCTCCCTTATCTGTCTGTCCTTCATTAGGAAAATCAGGAGAGGGGAAGAACGTGGGACGTGTTTTAATAAGCTATTAAGAATGGGAGGCCAGGAAATTATTAATCCTAGGGGAATGTTTATGTCCTGGGAGGGGAAACGTTGGCCTCACCCCAATATCCTTCCTTCTATTGTTGAGTAGGCTGATTACCTGGATATAAACATTGTGAGAAAAGATATGAAAAATAAACATTTGTCAGAGCATGTGTTTTTAGAATTTGACCCATCATTGTAGTGAAACTCTTCTTATTAGGAATAAAATATTTCTACAAACGTATATGATATGCTATCTTTCAATGCTGTATTCCATGCTCAAATGCTTCCTTTAAATTGTTCCTCTCACAAAACTTCTTTCAAAGATTATAATAGCAAGAGTAATAATAATAATAATAATAATCATTTACTTAGTGCTTCAAAGTTTGCAAAGTGCTTTATGGTTTTGTTAATTTAATTAATTTGCTAATTTAATTTGCTAATATAATGAATAATAATGATAATCCTTGACATTTATATAGCTCATAGTTTGCAAAGTGATTTCTATAACATTATCTCATTTGATCCACACACAAAAAACACAACCTGTTATATAAGTTCGTGCAAGGATTATTATCGCCATCTTTTGGATAAGGAAACTGACCCTCACAAAAGCGAGTGCCCAACTGAAGTCATTACACTAGTAAGTAGTGGAGCTGTAATGGTCCTAAAAGCATTCTAGAAGTGTGTAGAAAACTATGAAAAAGTCTCACCTACAAGAAATGAAAGCAAATACAATTTGGTATTCTAAGAATATGTGAAAGATGGAGTATCAATGTAAGGAGAAAGTGCTAAATCAATAAGGGGCAAGAAAAGGGATAAGGAAATTAATATGTTGCCAAGGAATAACCAGGAAGGATTCTCACAGTGGGATTCAATATTCTTAGGATCTTATTAATAGATACATTTTTTCACACATAATTTGATTCAGAAACTTTCTGTGGCTTCCTATTGCATACCAAATAGACTTCAAACTCCTCTACTGCTTTTCAAGACTCTCCTCAATCTGGCATCACCCTTCCTTTCTAGCTTTGCCTCATGATATTATGCTCCCTTAAGTGTACTCTGTGCTCTAATCCAACTGGACTTCTCTCTGACTCCTGAAACTTCCTATCCCTGGGAATGTCTTTGCTCTTGTCTAACCCAGTGCTTGGAATGGCCTCCTATTGCCTCTTCATCTGTTAAATTCCTAAGCTCAATGAAGGAAATCTTCTTTGATACCTCTGCTGAAATAATTTCTGCCCTCCTTTCCATGTAGCACCTTGGTTTGCCCTCCATGATACACTAGTCATGTAATATTGTATGTAAATTATCTATTTTTGCATCTTAACTCTTTATTACACTATAAGCTTCATGACGTGTAGGACCATGATTTATGTAAGTTTCATATCTCTCTCATCTGCTTGCAGTGTTCTCAATGCAAAAATATTTGTTTTAATAAGTGATTAAGTTAAATGGTTAGGGCAGCTAGATGGCACAGTGGATAGAGTGCTGGGCCTGGAGTCAGGAAAACTTCCTGAGTTCAAATCTGGCCTCAGACACTAACTAGCTGTGTGACCCTGGGCAAGTTACTTAACCCATTTGCTTGAGTTTCCTCACATATAAAATGAGCTGGAGAAGGAAATGGCAAACTGATGTGGTTTAGGGGTTCAGGGGTGCTGGGACCCCAAAATCACAACATGTGTGTCCTGCCCAAAAGAATTCAACCCAAGCCTTCTTTTGGCCAAAGACAAGGTTTATTAGAACATCCATTATATTGGACAGACTCTTAAGGAGTCTGAACATTAGTACGCTATTGGTTTATTGACTAGATTATAAGAATCTAAGCAGTGGCTAGATTTTAGGAATCTGAGCAGTGGCTAGATTATAAGAATCTAAGCAGTGGCTAGATTGTAAAGAATCCAAGCAGTGGCTAAATTTTAAGAATCTCAGCATTGGCTAGATTATAAGAATCCCAGCATCTTAATAGAGACAAGATGGACCTTATATACAGAAAGACTGTGGGAGGGATCTAGGAGTGTATCTGAATGGGAGTGGCCAGTAAGCTGGGGTGAACAGAACTCCTAGGACCTGGACAATGGAGCCTACCTAGGGTTAAGTGTGGGAAATGGCCAGGGACCATAGGGAGATAAGACAATGGAGGGGAGATTGGGTGTAGCCACAATGAAAGGCCAGTTGATGGGATTATAGCCTCAGGGGAAGGCCAGAGATTTGGCCATGTGGGAAAGTCCAGGGTTTTTCCTTTTCCTTTCTTCATCAAAACCATTTTAGTATCTTTGTCAAGAAACCCAAATGTGGTAATGAAGAGTCAGATGTGACTGAAATTACTGACTAACAAGAACAATAAAGTTAAATGGTTAGTAATTTCTTAAATATCAACAACTACCAAGAAAGAACTCTAATTTTCCTTTCCCCCCCAAGAACTATAGTCAAGAAATTTGACATCATTTTACAGCTTTTAAACTTCAAAGAGACCAGAACATCTTAGACTAAGGATGAAGCATCTAAATGGAAAGCAGAAAAACAAATCAAGCCAAAAAAGGAAGAAAACTTCCCAGAAACCAGGTAAGGATGGTTCATTTTCCAAATCAACATTTTTATCTTACCTGTTATCAGAATATTTATCATCTTTTGTTCATAATAAGAAAAATGATTGGTTTTTTTATATTAATAACCAAGTTTATATATGGGACCCAAAGATCCTTTTTTTTTTTTTTTTTTTGCTTTCTCATTCAAAGCCCAGTCTCTCAAGGACATTTCTGACCTTGCACCAAAACTCACCCCACCCAGACCATCTTATCTAGGTGGAATTCTTATCGTAGCCCCACCACTGTTCAACTTAAGTAGGACTGGCTGGAGAAGATTCTTTTGTTATAGATTGCTGGAGGCAGAATGATCTGGGAGTGCTGACAAGATCAAAGTCACAGCTCCCCCCCCCCCCCCCCCCCCCGCCCCCAACCCCAGTCCCTCATTAGAACAACCCCACCTCTATTATAATATTCATTCTTCATTAATTGCTAACCAATCAAGGATACCCCCTTTTCCAAAGTTATTTAAGCATTCATTCAGTGACCTCCATGCAGGGTCTTTGGTTATAAGAAAGCCCACTGACCTCAATTTATTATTTGTTAGCCTAATTAATAAAGTGATTACTAATTAACTATTAAATAAAAATAATTAATTATTAAATTATTGATAAATAATCAATTATTAAGAAATAATCTTTATAACAACTTAATAATATTAATAAATAATAAAAATTGATAAAAATAATTAATAATTAAATTATTATTGATTACTACCCAGAAAGTCTATCTCTCAGACTTTTCATTTGTCTCAATATAAATGCCACTGTTACTCAAAGGAGACATGACTACAATACCTAGAATGGACAAGGAACCCATGGTTATGTGTGATGTAACAACTGTTGGCTTTGAGTTGATTGTGTCAAGTCAAATTTGGATTCTTTGGAAGCATTCAGTATTTCATAGATGCCACCTTTTCCATGAAGTCTTCCATAATCCCTTAAACTAAAAGTGATCTTTCCTTTCATAGCACTTTACTAGTACATCTATTTTGCATTAACTCCTTCTACTTCATTTTATATTTATTTGAATGTCACTTCCTCTACTAGACTATGAACTCCTTCAGAGAAAGGGACCAAGGCATTTATCTTTGTATCTCACTTCTCCTTGCCCATATATATAGTAAGAAATCAATACACATTTGTCAAATTTCTATTTGAATTTGAATTGGGTAATTCAATTCCACTAATAATCTCTAAACCTGAGTAGACATTCATTGGAAATGTCCCCTAACCAAATTGTTCTTTTATGAAAATAATATGCTAATAATTATTTTGAAAATAACATGTTAATAAATAGCTAAACCGAATCAGCTACCTAATGGAATGAATGATGGTCTTAGAGTCAGGAAAGACCCAGGTTTGAATTCTGCCCCCTCACATTTTGAATCTTAGATATAGAAATGGGGAAGGGAAATTAGGGATCATTAAGCCCAACCCCCCCCCCCATTTTATAGATAAAGAAACTGAGACTCAGAGAGGGGAAATGACTTAATCAAAGTTCACAAAAATGAGTATCCGACCTGAAATTCAAACTTAGGCCATCACACCTCATTCCACTAAAATGCACTGCCTCTAGCTATGTGACCATTAGAAAGTCACTCACTCTCTCTTAATTTTCCTCATTTATAAAACTGGGCATAATAATAGCATCTGGATTTACCCTACAGGTTTGTTGTGATATTCAAATGTAATAATGTGGTTACAATGTCTTATAAACCTTAATGTGTTATATAAATGGAAGTATAATAATTAGTAATAATTATTACTGGTGATAATAATTATACTTAATAATCTTCCTACTTCTTTCTAACCTTGTTGTAGATAGATGTCTCATTGAGCAGTTAAAAGGCCTGGATAATACAGAAATACATCAGTCTCTTGGTAACAGAGAGTTGGCTAAATAATGAAGAAGTCTATAGATCTCAAACTTGAAGGGTTTAGAACCAGTTGAAGTATTAAAAAAACACACAAAAAAGAAAAAAAGTAGCATCTGTAACTCTGACCAATTTGTTATTTAGTTGTGTCAACCATGTGTGACTCTTCATGATCCCATTTGGGGTTTTCTTGGCAGAATACTGGAATGGTTTGCCATTTCCTTCTCCAGCCTCATTTTAGAAATGAGGAAACTGAGGCAAACAGGGTTATGTAACTTGCCCATGGTCACATAACTAGTAAGTGTCTAAGGCCACTCAAGATGAATCTTCCTGACTCCACGCCCACCTCTCTATCCACTGTGCCACCTAGCTACCCTGTAATTCTGCTCTATAGTGACCACTTTATAGGACTGGGTTTTTTGGTCCTGGTACCTTATAGGACCACTGAAAATCAGTATTTTTTTTTCCTAATAAGTCAATTGAGTTGATGATGAGCAGAAGAGCTAGAGGGAGTTATCTAGATGAGCAAGGAGAATAGGGAGAGATTCCCCATAGATGAAACATTGTCAGGAGACTTCAGGTGATTGGAGAGAAAGGAACAAAGACAAAGAGCTGAAATGCAGAGTAGAGTTCTTATTGCTTGTGATGTAGCTGAGAACATCTGAGATTTGAAGTCAGAAAACCTGGGTTTGAATCCTGCTTCTGACACCCATTAGCTGTATGAGTATGAGCAAGTCAGTCAACCTATGAAAGCCTTGGTGTCCTCATCTGAAAAATGGAGGTGCTGCCACTATTGACCTCAAGGAGTGCCTATGGGGAAAGCACTTTGTGAATCTCACTATGCAATTGTGAATTAATGTTATTGTAACTCCACTTTGCTCTGTCCATATTCATAATACTAATGAATACTTACGTAACACTTGATACTTTCAAGTTTTGAAAGCCTGACATAAGATTGAATTGCAAAACTCTATAGCCTGAAATTTTTCTAGAAAGAACAATTCTTGCAGCATAAGACTCTTGAGAAGTTAGTGCCTCTAAGAAATTAACATAGAAATTCAATTACAAACTAAGGTTATCACAAGAAAATTTCAATGTGACAAAAAGTCCCTAGCATCTCATAATGGACCAGTTTTTTAAGTGTTGCTCAAGAGGAGTACATTTAAGCATCCTTGTATTGAATGCATATTTGGCTTACGAAATCAATTGAATGACCTTTTTGGAAACTTGGTCAAGTAAGTCTCATCATAAAGTGAGATGACAAGTTTCTAATGCTTTCAGTCACTTCTTAGCTAATTTTGGATCTATCATGTATACCTGGAAACTACAATCTAATTAGCCCTTTTATTTGGTTTCTTGATGTCAGTAAGTCCAAATGCAGCCCAGGAGAAGAGAGGACCTGAGTGTTAATATCTAAAATTCCATTTAAAGCATAAGTACATTTGGGGTTTCCCCCCATACCTTTCTAGAAAATGTTAGAGTATATAAGTGAGTCTATGAATGAATTCTTGTTGGAAGCACCTGAACAAAAGTTTAAACATTACACTTCATTGAAGAGAGTAGTTGACATAATTAGTCAGAAAACACTATAGTGTAGTGCAAAAAGGATGTAGAAATGTCAAGAATGACAATGATTGAACATATGGGGTGAAGAAGAGTTAGCAATAGAGAATAATGTCAAGGTTATGAGCCTGGGAGACTGAAAGGATGATAGTGCCTTCAATGGAAGGATAAAAATGGAAATAGGGAAGCTTGGAGAAGGAAAAGATAATAAATTCATATGCCTTGTTTGTCTGTCCATTGGTCATAGTATGATCAGCCTAAGTTCAGAGAGGATCATTACCAAAGAGTGGGCTATGAAAGGATAAACTTTTGGGCCAGAGAAATTCACAAAGACCATCTGCTGAGACATGGGGAAGAGGATGGTTGAGGAATTAGAGCTAATCTGTGTCAAAGAAGTATTCACTTTAGCAAAGCAGTGAATTGTAGAACTATTAAGTATTGAGGATCAGTGGCTTCTGCAGAAGTCCTCTGTACTACATAGGCAGTCCTTTAACATTGCCATCTTCTTCCACCTTTCCAAAAGCAATGATAGTATTGATTTGATTGCTTTTCCTAAAACGAAAGGTAAAAATGATGGAGGAGAAAGAGGGCAGAGAATACGTATATGGTGGAAGGTCAAATAACAAGATGCCAAAGCTTGAAGATGTAGGTTGAACTCTAATTCTGTTTCTTATTCCTATGTGTGACTGTGGACAAGTAATATGTAATATGGAGAATTGAACCAGTTGACCTCTATGGTCTTTTCCAGCTTTAAATGCTATGATCCCTATGAACTTAAGGCTGAGAGACATTGTCTGACTTGCCCGTGATCAAATAGCTAGTTAGTCACAAAGCTGGAGGTAGAACTCAAGTTTGTCATCCATTGCTCCTTTCACTCCATCCGATGAGGTCAGAGTGAGAGCACCAATAATGCAACTCCAATAATGATATTCCCAGGTACAAGTAATGGAACTCCTCATTCACATAAGAGAAGATACTTCTCTATCACTGCATGAGAGTATCTCTCAATATCAGTAATTCTGTAGTTCAAGTCAAGTCTATAAGAATTTTATTAAGTGCCTTCTCTGAGATAGTCACTCTGCTGAACACTAGGGATACAAAGAAAAGGAGGTAGGGGAGGACCTGCCCCTGAAGAACCCACAGTCTAACAGGGAAGAAAAATGCAAACTATGTGCAAACAAGATACATACAGGCTAAATTGGACATAATCTGAGAGGGAAGGCATTAAGGTTAGGGAGGACCAGGAAAAGTCCTTTGATCTGAGGAACAAAGAGCAGCTGCCTCCAGACTGAAAATTCCTTGCATATGGGAGTCGCAGGAAGTCATTGTGGGACAAGGGAAAGAGTTTTGGACTTGGAGTCAGAGACCTGGCTTCAAATCCTGGCTCTGTCACTTATTACATGTGGGACTTTAGTTGAATCATCTAACTGCTCAGGGGCTCAGTTTCTTTGTCTATAAAGTGAGAAGATTGAACTAGCTAGCTTCTCAGATCCTTTGCAATGGTAAATCTATGATCCTATCCATAATACATTGAAACCTGTGTATTTATGCAGGTCAAGCTATCAAGATTTTAAGACTTGCCTATTTCAACCTTAGTGGAGTGGGTTCATTTCTATCATAGAACAAGTAAAAATGTTATGCAGGCCAATAGAGTGATGATAACAATAGTTCACATTTTGCTAGCACTTTAAGGTTTACAAAGCACTTTCTTTATAACCCCATGAAATAGATTGGACAAGTATTTTAGTCACCATTTTTCAGATGAGGAAACTGAGAAGTATAGAGGTAAAACAACTTGTCCAAGGTCACATAGCTAGTGTATAGTAGAACTAAAATATGAACACAGTTCTTCTGCCCCCTGGGCCACCATGCCAATGTTAGAGTTTATTTGGCCATCAGAGTTCTCTTCAGTGTGGGAAAAAGTGATTATCCTTTTGGCATCTACTTTCTTGGTCAAGGGAAATACACTCACTAATTTGCAAAATGATTACAGGAGAATGAATGGGTATGGGAAAAGGGTTGTTTGCTACTGAGTAATAATAAATACTGTCTCTCACCATGA